TACTGACAGCTGCTGAAATGGAGGTGTCCTCCCTGAAACGGAGGTCCCTGGTTCCCTTTCCCTCTAGTTTTTGTGTGTGCTTCCGTCTCTCTTCCTTTGTACTAATATCAATGCTCCTTTCCAAGTATGTATTTGATTTGTTAAAGAGGCAGAAAGAAGTCAACAAAATGGTGTCATTTTCATATATTTTAGTAAACTTACTTGGCTCACAAAGGAACCTGATGAAGATTTGTGTTGGCATAAGGGCAGAAGTTTGGGACCCAGTGGCATGGAGCAATGATGCAATGGAGTTGAAAGGAAGGGAATGCTGAGAGGAGCCGTAAATCAGAGTGGAAGGACAAACAGCAAACCTTTTGGCTTAGTTTAAGGAAAGCAGCAGAGTCTCATTCAGATGCAAACTTGTAACGTGTGGAACCAAACCCAGGGTTTGCAGTGCAAGCCTTTGCTCTTAGCATCAGACACCACCAATAGCTACTGGTACATTGAATAGGCAATACCTGCAGAAACATAAATTAATTTGATGATGTAGAAAAATGAACAGTAATTTTTTTTCCTTATGTTACTTGATTCAGCTATACTTATATTATGTTTTTCCTAGAGTACATTTTTTTTATATCTGCTACGAAGGGGTTTATGTTGATGAAAAGTTTGACATATAGTATCCTATTATCGATCCTGCCAGACAAGCTTGTAGGCATGTTTGGGTTTTTTCATTAGTGTAATTAAGTTTAATGGCTATTACATCTTTGCATAAGATCTGTACTTTTATTATTTTCTGCCTGCCAGCTTAGCAAATACTAAGCAAGATCTCCAATTTCTCACAGGTATAAAACTCTTGTCTTTTTTGTGCTGTTTAGTAAGTGGTTGTGTTTGTTACTAATGTTTTTTTGTAGCTATAGGGTTAACCTCTCTCCAAGTTAGACTCTCTCCAAACCTCCATTATCCCTACTGGATTGATTTGTCACTTACTGTATCTCCCTATCAGTGAATAACGACAACTGTCGGTAAACTCTTCAGGAAAGCCTTCATCTTTCCAGCAAAGGCCTTAAGGAGCCTTTTCTTTCCTCCCATTTTCTAATGAAAGAGCTTGAAAATTGTAGGACTCTCGCTGTGTGTGCTCTTTAGTACCATTACTCTGTGTATTTTTCTGCTGATCTCTGCAGCCACAGGGAGCATGGTTACGTGGTTAAGAGGGCTGCTGGGTGGTAAGAATTACTTTTCTTGTTCTCCTGCATCCTTTGTTCACAGGGATGATACTTGATAATTATCTCTTAAATGCCAGTGTGTTTTTATTTTTATCTAACTGTGACAGACTAGTCTTCCAGCAGATTTTTATTTCCCTCCTACACTCATGCAGGCTTTCACATGATGCTTCAAAAAAGCAGCTGAGAAGCCCAGCAAAAAGCAGGACTGATTTGTTTAAAGCCCCACTATTAATTAATTCAGAACTTCAGGTTGTGTTACTGGTTGCTATGTGCAAATCCAAAATTTCTAGTGGGATCCATGGTCAAGTAATATTTCCTAAAAATGTGTTTTCTGGGATGGACCTAGTTGGTACGTGCTATCATTACAGATACTGATTAAGAGCAATTGTTTTACTGTGTCTAAGATGTAAACTGAGGATGTCAGTTCATGTCTAGTAGTTACCAAGTGCTGATTGAAAAAGATTTGTCACTGCTTGCTCTGCAGTAGGACAGAGATTTGTTCTGGAGCTCTGTGGTGCTGCAGATGGGCAGTCCTCGGCGTGGGGAGTCCCTCTGCGTGAAAGTTCTGAAATCTGCTGCCAGGAAATACCTGCTAATATTTACTTTAAAAATTCACTGAAAAATACCATCCAGAAAAGATATTTCTTGGAAATTTCTGTGGAAAATGGATGCCTGAAGGGATGCAAACTCAATTGAAGCAAATTAAGGAATTTGAGCAAGTATTAGGAATAATCTTTTTCTGTGTACGGTATTTGACAGTTCTAACAGTAGTAACATCAAAACAAGGTGTTTAAAGTAAGATTGACTTAATGTAGCAGTACAAATACATTTGTCACATATGCATGGGAATACAAATTATATAAATATGCAAGTGTATTTCTACAAATGTATTGACAATTTTGAGCTAAACTCCACATTTTTAATTTGAACCTGCTTTTAGTGTATTTTTTAATAACCCAGAAGATATTAAGATTTTTTTTTTTCCCTTTTTGTGGGTTTTTTTTTATACAGACATGAAGAAAACAAGTGCTCTATACATTATCTGGGTTTTTTTAATTTAATTGACAGGAATTTGAAAAATTAATTGGGCCTTTCTAAAGGATAGATATCATTGAGCTCTCTGCAGGCCCAGGTAATATTATATGGTCTGTTCATACATATGTCAGACTGGATTGAATGCTCCTGCTTACTGGCTGAATCTCTGGAAGGACTGGTTTCTCAGCTGGAAATAATTTCTGAATTGGTGGAGCATTAGTTGGTTATTATTGTCAAAGATGACATCTTCAGTCTTTTCTACATTATCGCTGAAGTAATTCCAAGCCAAAAGTGGTAAAATGCAGGTTGTTAAACCCTGAAAACACCTTTAGGCAAAACAGATTACCTTACACTTGCCTATGGTTAAGAGTGCAGGGCTTTGAGAGTGGGTTTTTTTCACTGCAGATGGACTTGGTTCAGCAAGGCACAGATAGACATTTTCATGCTTTTTTTCATTACAATGAAGTCATCACTTTTCAACAACGCAAGGCTTTCTTAGTGTTTCAGCACAGGTATTTGTTCTTTCTACCAATTCCCTATGAAATTATTGTTAAAACAGAACATATCACTGTCGTGATGGCCCTTCAGTTTCCATTCTCTGAGTATCACTGAGAATGTCAGTTGTGTAGGTAGATGCCATTGCTGGTTTTGCGTTGGCACCTGTCTAAATTGTACTGTGCCTACTGTGCTGCCCTGAGACGATCTCATGGTGCCTTTTGCACACATACAGCTCTTGTTTGGTCAACAGACTTCATCACAGGTGCAATTTCTTGTGTAATTCTATGTGTAATGAATAATGCAATAGAATAATAGCACTATGCTATATTTAGTGTTCATTAATGTACATGTTCCCTCTAATCCTTTTAAAAATACGTTCTTGCAGCCTATTTGTACTCTTGTCTGAGCATATTACAGTAGTTTTGATTTCAGTAATCCTTTGTGGCAAGAAATAAATTGAGCAGTAGGACATTTATGTGGTATGAAAGCTTCTCTTTGGTTGTTTGTTCTGACCGACTTCTCGACATGAAGGGAGCAAGGCTTATATCTACCAGCTGTCTTGCTGCTGCTTCCTTTAGTTAGCACTGATTTCATAAATCTGGGTCTTTGAAGCAGATTTTCTAAAAGTGTGCATTTGAAGTACATTTCCTAGTATTTAAACGGTCTATTCATTATATGAAACTACAGTATCTCTTGCCTCTTGCCTTTTTTCTTATACCCAGTTGTCTTTTTAATCTTTTGTAACTTGTTACACCTGTAATATTACATTCATGTAGGGTGAAAGATGAATTCTGCTCACAGTGATGGTACGATGGGCCGTGTAATGCGTTTGGACTCGCTGCGTCCGTGAAACCTACGGCGTTCAATGAAACAGCCAAGTACATTTAACAGGATTATGCAGGGAGATAAATGCTTGGTACATGGTAGCTGGTATGAAAAGTGTTTCCATTCTCTCCCCATCCCGTTGGCAGAAGTGATGGACAGTAAAGCGGACATTGTCATCACTTGCTCAGAGTTAATGTCCCAGTGAGGTTAACTGACTTGCAGTGCAAAAGCTCGCACGTCTGAATCATCATTTAAGGCAGTCAGCAGAAACCGAGAAGTCGATGCTAATTAAACTTGGCTGATACCTGGAAGCTTTAGATAAAGCCCTAAGGCTTAGAACTGGTTGGGTTTTGGCTTATGTTGTTTTTTAGGCTTATTTCATGACTTCTTATGCAGACATCAGAAATGTATAAAGCCATCTCTGTGTTTTGGCCACCTCTACTTAATATAAGAGCTATGAGGAGAGTCTTCAACCTGTGTGTTTTCTAAGATGATCCCGCGGTGCTTATTGTATGACTCATTAACAGGAGTGGTACACTGTGTAATGTCTAAGTGTTCATATCCCTTCTTTTTGCACAACTGTAAAGAGATACTTATATTTGTGTGTTGTTTAGATTCCAATGCTTCTGTCCATTTTGTTTTTATTGCATGTGAAGCATAGAGGAAAATTTGCTAAAACTGTGATCTAATCTTAAGCCCTGCATGTATATTGTAAATCTAGTAAGCACTTTTTTCGTGCTTTGGCTGCTGATGTTGCTCTAGACTCCCTGGATTATTTGTTTCCAGGTGTGTTGCACTGTCATTTGCACTCATCTTACTTTATAAAGGAGTAAACAAGCTTACCAAGTTACAAGAAATAGATTAAGAAAGAGAATCAGTAGTGGTGTTATAATATTGATATATATCAAGGCTATTAAAGGAATGTGTCACTGGTATAAGTTCTTGAGCACTGCCTTTGTGGTGGATGATAAATTCATTTTATAGACTTAATTATATTTTTTCAGTGTGGCTTATTTCATCATGTTATGTGCTTTGCTTTTTATTGCTGAATATCTTCAGGTTATTTGTCCTCTTCACCCCCACCCCACCCCACCCCCGGATTTCCTTTATGTAATTGGGCAGTAGATGAACAAACATACGAGCTTATAATATCCTATAATAAAAATATTTTGCTTTTCTTATGTAAATGAGTATTGCATATCAATGAGGCCATTAACATGCTATTTGGACTTTCATTATATTAAACAGATTATGAGAAATTTCAAAGGTGTCATGAACACATAAAAAGATATTTCAGTTTCAATAAACGTTCCAAGACAAGTAAAGTATCAATAGAAGAAAGTGGATTCTTCATATGCATTTATAATGGTAAACAGTTTTTGAGAGCAAGTTGCACGATGTGTTACTGATTATGTTTAATCTTTTTTCTTTTTCCAGTTGTCCGTATTTGTCAGAGAAGATTACACCTGCTATACCTGCAATTGGTGGGATTCTTTTCTTTTTCGTGATGGGGACCCTGCTGCGTACTAGTTTCAGTGATCCTGGTGTCCTCCCACGCGCAACACCAGATGAAGCAGCAGATCTAGAGAGACAAATAGGTAACACTGAAGGTCTGTTGTCTCTTCACTTCCCTCCCGAGGGTGCATGTACTGTGTGCAGGCAGTGTGCTGCTCTGCTCATGGGAGGACTTACTCCTATCTTGCCAGAGTAATTATTCCGGAGTTGTAATGTCTGATGATGTTGCAGTGATTCCTGCGGAAAGATGGTTGATTGGTTCTTCACCAAGAAAGATAGTAAAGAAAATCCTGGCCTTGGAGTGTGATAGTTGCAACTGTAAATGCTTTTCAGCAAGTCTGGTAGAAGTCTTGTCTGTGGTGCACAAGAGAATACATTCTAAAGTGTTTTTGGCAAGAAAGCTGATATTGCAAAGTTCTACAATTGTGTCTCTTTTAATGTACCCTGAGAGTTTCATTGAATTTGATTATGGTGTTATTTATATTTTGAAAGAGTCAGGTAAGTCTCTTGTGTTAATATACAGTCTGCTAAGTTGATGCAGTCTTGGGGAGATTTTTCTTCAGTAACAGTAATAAAATGTTACTATTTTTATCTGTGTAAAGCTAGTACAACTAAAGGAGACTGAGCTACGTTTTAATCGACCTCATTTATCAAGAAAATTGTTAACTAAATTCTAATTGTGGAATTTCTGCAGCTACAAATACGCTGAATAGCTAAAATGTGCTATCTGGATAAGAAAACACAGGATGACTTTGCAGACCTGCTTCACAAACAGTGGTTTGGTTTGCTTATTTTTTTAGTAAGCTACTAAAGCTTACTAAAGGCTACTAGATCTGCTTTGTTATAGTAGTCAATGGAAATCCCATTTTCTGAAGCAATTTCAGAGGAACAGTCACTCATATAATTGAAAACACAGATAACAGGTTTATGCAAGCACAGGAGAAATACCTGCAGGGTCTTTGGTATTTAATACTGTTTACTGTGACAAATAATTTAATGCAGTAGAAGAAAACGAGTGCACTAAAGCTGTTGTTGCAGATGCTTCTGCATCTATGGAGTGTGAGTTTGTGGGATTTACTTCAGACCAGGTTTTGTCTGGTTCTGTAGACTGTATGTCCTCCACAGAGCAGTGGTGAAAATGTCTGAGGGGCAAAGACATTGGTTTAGACTCTAACACCATGTTACAGGGTTGAGTTCGTTTGGTGCACACATGGAGCAGAAGTTCTGGTGTAGTTTCCTCAGAAAGCAAGTGTAGTTTGTATGCACCAAAATCACTCTGTGAACCATGGGAATTATAGGAGAATTCATGTCAAAATAGCAAAATGTTAACAAAAATATGGCATTAGTTTCTTCTTACTACTTAGCTGTGAAGCGACAATAAGCATATCACGCTGCTCTATCTTCTACTTAAGAGACATGCTGGATGAAAAAATATTGTTAAGGTAAAACAAAAAACAGAGCAACTTGTATTCACTGTTTTAGGCCTTTATGAGCCTTTAGCAGAAGAAAAGTAACAAGCTTATTCTTAAATACATTCATATTTTAGTGGTTGTTTGAATCTAATGGTTTCATTGTGATTAAAAGATGAAAGGCTCATTTTCAGAAAACTGCTGTCAGAGGAGGGAGAATGGTTTTATTTTCTAGAAACATGCATGTTATCTTTGGTATGGATTATTTTAAGAAGAAGCAGAATTTCAAAATACAGTGATGTGTTCATTGATCATCATTACAGTGAGATAATTTTCTTTCACCAGATTTGGCAGACCCTGACCACAGCTGTTACACTATGTCATGTGTTAAGAGAAAAAGGTGTCTGTGTAGTAAACAGCATTTTGTGTATTTCAAAGAGTTTGGATTTGAGTTCTGAAGTGGAATCAACACATTTGCATCATGCTACATGTAGCACCTAATTGTACTTACTCTGTATGCTCTTTGTGTAGGTTTGAGGCTTTTGGAACTGTATGATCATGTAACATGGTCATTGAACTTTGTGGGAAGGAAGTCTTTTCTCATGGGTATGTGAAGTCTGAGGTGTGTAGTTCACCAGACTTTATAGACCTGGTATAACTTTCCAAAACCGGTGTATTCTGCTGGCATTCACATTTCAGGAAGAAAACCTACATTGCTTGTAGACATTGTTTGGACTAATTGTGCAGAGCCAGGAGCCAGCTGTCATTGCCATGACAGGAAGGAGGTTACATTTAGCCAGTCAGGACTTGGCTTTGGGCAAGGACCATGCTGTACGTAGTATACAGGGAAGAAAACTGTTAGATCCTAGGTGACCTAGATAGCTCCATCCCAGATGGATGAATTGAAATTCATATAAATTTCTTCTGTTTGCTTATTTATAAAGAAAATCTTCAGTCAAACTGACCTTACATGCCATGAAGAAATTAAATCAGGAGTGGAGGAGCATTGTGAAGCCGTATTCTCACTACACTCTAAAAATACAAACAAACAAAACCATTAAAAATGGATATGGAATGTGTTTATACTGAGGAACCGGAATTCTCTTCAAACACAATAATTTCAGTCCTTGCTTGTGTAATGGAAGAATTCCTAATATTCACAGAATCCAGATATGTGGAAAACAGATGCCAAAGTTCAAATTTGTGATGTTGCAAAAGCTAACAGATTTCTTAGGAACACTGATTTTAGAGCTTATTTTTTAGCTTTTTGCCAGTGCTGTCACTACAAACATTTTTCAGAATTGAATACAGAGTATGTGATGTGCTGCACAGAAGGATGTAAGTTGCTATAATGGGTAATGGGATTATTTTTATAGTTGGGAAGAAGAGGAGGGAGAGTAGGGGGCAAAAAAAGCATCTTGGAACTATTTGGGGAAATGTGGGAAAAGGTATAATTTCCCCTTCTTTTCTCTTTTTTTGCCCGCACCTCTTCTCAAAAAAATTTATCCTCTCTGTAGGAATAATGTGTGGGAGGAGGATGGAATTCAGGCAGGTATATTCCTTAGTATTGCCAAAAAGGAATGCCCCTTAATATCATGAAACTGTGTTCTAATTTGTAGATAAACAATTGTTTAAAATTTAGAGTTGTCCAGAAAGAACCATTTTGAAATAGAGCTTTCCATGTAACACTTTTATTACTCCTGTAATTACTATGATGGCTTGCGAGTATTCTGTGTTTTTTAAAATGGAATTTTTATTCAGTTTTATTAATGCAATATTTGGAGACCAGTGGACATTCTTTGCCTGTTTCAGTACTGGTGTTCTCAGTAAAATGTCTTATGATTGGAAGGTAAATAGATTTACTGGATATTTGAAATCATAAGAATATCTTTCTAATTGACTAACCTTCCATAAGTCTTACTTGAAGAACTCAGATTTCTGTTAAACCTTTACACTTCCTCAGTGTGCCACCATGACCTCTCCTAGCTGTTTCACTCCAGCAATCCCAACACTCCTATTTTTTTCTCTTCTTACGGTGAAGCACAAGTCTTCTTAATTTGCCAGTCATCATCCTGGTCTCCGCTGTCCTAATGATAAATAACAGAATCGAAGCTGTTTCCAAAGAATAAAGCTAGATGTTTGTCATATCTGATACGAGTTACTTAGGACAGGTAATAAAGGAAGCAGGGCTGCTTTCTAAATAAAACGAAACATGAATGGTACTTTTAAAAGTTTGAATTAAGAAGAAAAAGTTGTATGTTTTAGTTAAATTTCACCTTTATCAAATTTGGCATTTAAAGGTAGTTTAAAAATGAAAGCTTAACAATTGTTAGATGAATACCAAGCTTGTTTTTACATTATCACCGATTTCTACTGAACAGCACACATACCATCTTACTTACATGCATACAACCAACCTTCTCAGAAAAGCAGCATTGTGTGGGACACTGCTGTACCTACCCAGAAGAGGTTCTCATCAGGAAAAGGCTGGACCACCGTAGGGGGACACTATGGAAGTCTACTTAAACCAGACTAAGAGAAGGGAAGACATTTGTGTCCGAGCCTGTTGACCAACCATCTTTCTTTCACTTACTATATTAACAGATTTCTTTAAACACGTTTTTGGCTAAGGATAGGATTTCAAAATTGGTTAGACGCAAGACTTGCAGACAAATTGCTGGGCTTCTTAGAGCTGATGTTCTGTTTTGTTTCTTTTTCTCTGTAAGGAGACAAGTATTCATGATTGGGAGAATAATTTATTCCTGCTATAATGTGAGATCATTGTAAGGAAAAGCCGAAGCATGACTGTATATGAAGAAAAATGTATTTGGGGGAAGTTATCATAACTGTGGTTAAAGTAAGGGTATACTTGTTGTTGCTTCCCTTATTGAGACCAGTTTGCTGAGTGAAAACAAATGGTCATCAGTTTAGAAGAGAAAGACCAGTATGATGTTTTGAATTGTGCCACCGGTGGCTGATAGTTGAGCTATAGAAAAATCGTAGTCCTAATTCCTTAAATTGTTTGAAAATTAATGAAATAAAATCTTCCTAAACAGTGGGAGGCTTTTGCACCTGCATTTGAGAAAGGAACAGGGAGGAGGGTACGATGCTGAAAAGAATAGTAGTACCCATCTAGATACTGTCCTACGTTCCCTATGATCTCTGTAGCTACTTTTCTATTTCTGTGTCTTTTTCTTTGAATTTCTTGAGTCCCTTAGGCAGAAGATGAAATTCAAATCCATTAATGAAGCTGCTACTGAAATTTACTTGCTGATTCCATACTAGTAACGGTGCAGTTGGGGAAAAAAATTTCAGGACAAAAACTGGTATAACCTGTGCTTTTTATGTGAAACAGATGGGCTTTCTAATGGAAATTTACCTTTCCAGTAATTACATGTAAAAGTGATAATGATGATGGTCTGCTAAATGAGATTGCAAGTGAGTTGTTGAAGAGAGGATATTAGGATTTAGTTATCTTGCTATGACAGATATTTTTCACCACTATATCCAGCTAGTAGGTGAAATCTTGAGTGTTCTGTAAATCATCTTTTAAGTATGCTTTTATTAAAGGATTTTCCTCAATTTGACCGCAGCAAATGAATTCCTCAGTTTTTAAATCCAGTACCCATATACGCAATATTTAATTGTATCTATGGTTTTGAAATGGACGTGGTGTAATAGTCACT